TTATTTTACAGTAGGGCCAATTTACTAATATTCGGAGTCGCCACCTAGCATAGGGTGGTATGCTAGGTCACCTATGGTGTCTAAAGACTTTGAAAAAATAGATGGACACATGAGAGGTCTAATTTGGGCCCTAATGTATTTGACATCCACTTAGTCTACGAAAACCAAATTAATGGATTCGGGGGTTTGGTTGTGCATGGGGAAGGTGTTAGGCACCCCATGACACCCGTGGAACACAATTACCTTATTTCTATATTGCATTCCTAAAGATGAATATGTATAATTTTAACGTTTATGCTTTATTCAATAATGGTTTATAAGCTTCATCCTTATTATAGGAAAATAAGGTTAATGTTTGAATAGCTTGTGAAATATATATTTAAACATATGAGTTTTATAAATGAATATATATTTTAGATATTGATGTGACCGAACCTAAGAGTGACTTAGGTTGCCTACCTACCCCATCACATAAAAGGTGAGGATCAGGTCAAATGTAGTTCAATTTGTATTTAATAAATATCTTATGAGAAATTAAAGAATAAATATTTCTAAAGAAAACTTATAATTTAGGAAAAATATACATATTCCAACTAGATTCAATTTTAAAGATGTTTATAGGAAACTTTATAATTGAAGAAAGTATGTCCTAAGGAAACTTCTATCTTCACAATGTTTCTAAGGAAACTTTATTATTTAAGAAAATATATATATTTGGAAATAAATTTGTATCTTTAAAATGTTTCTGAGGAAACTTTGTTATTTAAGAAAAGCATATATATTTGTAAATAAATTTGTATCTTTAAAATGTTTCTAAGGAAACTTTGTTATTTAAGAAAGTATATATATTTGAAAATAAATTTGTATCTTTAAAATGTTTCTAAGAAAACTTTAGAATATATGCATATATATTTATAAGGAAGCTTATATTTTAATAAAGTAAATATTTATTTATAAAGAAATCTATATAAAATATATTTCTAAGAAAACTTATAGTTTGAGTATATATATTTGTTATTAACGGAATATGTATTAAAATAAATTCTATTTTTAATGGAAACCTGTATTTTAAAAAGTAAGTTATAAGAAACTCATATTTTAAAGAATTGGTATTTTTAAGGAAACCTGTATGATTTAGGAAATTAATATTTAAAGAAAATACTCTTTAGGAAAAGTATATAATTTTCTGGAAATACTACTTCTTTAGAATACATAAAATATAAAATTTTAGATCCTATAACTAATATCTAATTTTGATTTAAGAATCAATTATTTATGAAGAAATGAATCTTGAAGGCTCTTAAGAACGTGACTTTATTTTAAAAATAGCATTTAGTAAAGCTTCATTTTAAGGAAACAAGCTTTTAATAAAACTTTAAGTGAAATGATTATTAGAAAAGTTTTGTTCTTTTTTTAAAGGAAAATAGCTTTTTAAAACCTTAATTTTAGAGGAATAGCGTATAGGAAAGCTTTATTTAATAAAATGAATTTTAGAAATACTTTAGTTTTAGAAAATAATTCTGTTGAATGATATGATTTTTAAGGAGAGATACACTTTTTAGTAAAGATGCATTATTTGGATCCTTCTTTTTTTAAAAGAGTGATATTTGGGGCAGTTTATTTTTAAGAAGCTTTACTTCATTTGAAAAATATGATTTCAAAAATATATACTTCATGTAGAAATTATTTTTGCACATTTTGAATATAGAGAAAATACTTTTTGATAGTGATGACTTAAATGTAAGTGTTTATTTGAAAATTTTGATTTCAGAGGACGTAACCATCTTTTCCAGAAAAATAGGATCTTAAAAAAAAAAAACGATTGTTTAAGACAAAATGATTATTTTTCTTAATTTTTATGTGATCCGGAGTTTAAAAATTAATCATCCTTGTACAAGTAAATATTGAACTCTTTTAAGAAAATGATCCTTAGGATACAATATTTTAAGAAACGTATGAATTCTAAGGAATAAAAATTTTAAGAAAATAAATATATATATATATACTGGAAAGCTTCATTTTTTAAAAGACTTTGTCTTATAAAACAATACTTTTTAAAACAGAAATTTATGATTCCTTTTATAGAAAATATAACCTTAGGGAATTATATTCGTTCTCAGATATATAATTATTTAGAATATATGATTAGTTTTTGAAAATATAATACAAGATAAGAATTTTATTTGAAAAATACGATTTTTAATCAAATAAAACAAAAATAAGATTTAAAAAAAAATGTATTTTTAGAATATATGCTAACAAAAATATAATTTTAGAAATTATTGTTTTAGAAAATATTTTAGGAGATACAATTTCTAAAGAAAGTTATTATTTTAGAAATATAGTTTTTTAACATTGAAAGATATGAAGTCTTATGTTTGACAGAAGTAAATTAGAAGCTTGATATATGTTTTATGACACCCCATGCTAGTGATAATATAAAAATTCTTTATTGAGTCCTAAAATAAACAAATAACTAATGTCAATTGATATCAAGGCCTGACCCGTGCTTAGATAAAAAAAAAAATTCAAGATCCTTGAAGCTACACTCATTTACTAGTCAACAATGTTTACGCACCAATCTGTGGGTATAATCACTCCATATGATAAGTTGTACCATATATATCAATACTTAAATATAGATGTAATTAAAAATGAAGAACATCAGTAAGCATACATGCTTCTAATCAAAAGGTATGCACACCATATTGTGGAAACAAAAAGTAATATAATTGCTCCATATGATAAGTTGTACAATATCAGTACTCGGCATGAATGTAGTTATTATCGCAACAAAATTACAAGGTGACTTTATCTGTCCAACTGACATCCACAAAATTACAAGGTATCGCAACAAAATTACAAGGTGACTTTATCTGTCCAACTGACATCCACAAATTGTAATTTTGTGGATGTCAGTTGGGCAGATAAAGTCACCTTGTAATTTTGTTGCGATAATAACTACATTCATGTCGTTGCGATAATAACTACATTCATGTCGAGTACTGAATGTATATATATATATATATATATATATACATGTGCGTGTGTGTTTATTTATGTGGATGTCAGTTGGACAGATAAAGTCACCTTGTAATTTTGTTGCGATAATAACTATATTCATGTCGAGTACTGATATTGTACAACTTATCATATGGAGCAATTATATATATATATATATATATATATATATATATATATATATATATATATGTTTTTATGAATATAAAATTGGCAAAAGTGTAAAAAAATCCCTGAACTATCTAATTTTTGACAAATACCCCCCTTAACTAGGCAAAGTGTGCAAATACCCCCCTGGAAGTCACCGGATCAGCTTTCCGGCAACTGTTGATTTGAAATGACCGAAATGACCTTACTTATTAAATTATATAAAAATAATAATAATAAAAAAACTAATTGTGAAATGCCAATTTTACCCTACTAAATTAAGTTGCCCTAAAATCTCATTTAGTTGATTATGTTAGATAAAGAAACACACAGAGAGTTAGAGAGCGATGGAGGCGCAGATATGAACTAAGGGTTTCATATTGTGGGTGGAAGACTTTGATCGTATTCTTGTTCTGTTCAATTGTGCGCGACATCGTGTTGTTGTTTTCTTCAATTGTGTGTTACATCGTGTGGTATTTCCTGTTGGGTCTGTTGTTTTCACGAACTTTGATTCGATTTTACAAGTTCTCCAAATTTGTAAGTTTAGATTCTGTTCTATGTCTTTATGTCGATTTTAAATGAATCTTATTTTTCATTTTGTATGTTAATGGTTATATTTTTGGGTTAATTAGTACTAATCGAATATTTGATTTCTAAGGTTTTTGAAAATCTATTTTGACCTAGTATAAAATTCTCTTTTTTGTATATATAATACACATGCATGCAATTTTTTAGAACTTGGGAAATGTTTGGTGTAGGCTTTATGTTGATTAAAGAAGATAGACCCCACTGACAATAGAGTTTATAGTCAATGACAGTGGTCCATGTCCTTTTTTTTTTTTACTTTTATGTCTTCGTATAGTGATACACAATGGTCCATGTCTTGTGTTTGATATCAGTTTGTTTCCTACATCATTTTTAGATTGATGTCTTGTGGGAAATGTTTGATGTCTTGTGGTCTATGTCTTGTGTTTGATGCCAGTTTGTTTCCATGTGATCATTACTGCATATTTAATAACAATGAAAAAAAAAATGTTCCATTACTCCATTAGGGTTTATGTATTTTGTTATTTTATTGCTTAGGTATAGGTATTGTTATTTGCTTAACTTTTTATTTTTTGTGCTTAGGGATTGTCTTTTGATTATTTTTTATTTTTTGTACTTAGGGTTTATGTATATTGTTATTTTATTGCTTAGGGATTGTTATTTGCTTAATTTTTTATTTCCTGTGTTTAGGGATTTTCATTTAATTATTATTTCATTTTTTGTGCTTGGGGTTTGTACAAATTGTTATTTTATTGCTTAGATATTGTTATTTGCTTAATTTTTTATTTTTTGTGCTTAGGGATTGTCATTTGATTATTATTAATTTTTTATTATTATTATTATTATTATTATTATTTTTTTTTTTTTTGTGTGCTTAGAGTTTGTGCAAATTGTTTTTTTATTACTTGGGTATTTTTATTTGCTTAAATTTTTATTTTTTGTGCTTAGGGATTCTCATTTGATTAATTTTCTATTTTTTGTAATTAGGGTTGTGCATATTGTTGCTTTATTGGTTAGGGATTATTATTTGTTGAATTTTATATTCACCATGACTTATGTGTTTTGGTTTGCTTGATTGAACAGACAATGAATACTACCAGGTTGATTACACTGGAAGTACATTTTGGAGGTAATTTCCAATACACACCACTTAAGTCATATATGGGTGGTGAGGTAGACCTACTTGACAATGTTAATGTGGATTTTTTTTATCACTTTTTCATCTAAAAGAGGTGGCTAACAGGCTTAGGTTTGAAAAAAATTATGAGTTGTATTATAGGAATCCAATGGTGGCAAGTGATGAAGGAGTTAAGAAAATTGAAAAAGATGAAGATGTATTGGAATGTATTAATGCTCATAACAGGTTCAGGTTGATGAAAATCTTTACAATTTCAAAAGGCAGTGTTGAGGGTGAAATTTCTGAAAATGTAGAGGAAAGTTATGAGTGTATGGGGAATGGAGTACAACCTGAAGTTGACATGCATGATGATGATTGTAATTGGGATGATGAAATACTAGAATGGGCAACTCAGACTGAAAATGAGCTGAATGATGAATTAGAGCATGAATATGCTACTGTGGATGCTAATGTGGTTGTAGATGTGGATGCTGATGTGGTTGATGTGGATGCTGATGTGGTTGAAGATGTGAATGTTGGTGTAGATGAAGATGTGAATGTTGATGTAAATGAAGATGTGAATGGTGATGTGGATGAAGATGTGAATACTCATGTGGATGAAGATGTAAATGGTGGCATGGGTCAATACTCAGATATTGAATCCATATATTCACCAAGTGATGAGTTGGAAAGCTTATGTAAATCATCCTCTGAAGAAGATGGCAGTGACAGTGAAGTGGATATGGTTCCAAGAAGGCATAAATTTAGGAATAATGTCATAGAACTTGGCAACAAATTTTTTTCACCTGAAGCATTTAAAATGGCCTTAAGGGGTGATGCTATTAAAAGAAAGTATGATATTAGGTTTGTGAAGAATGAAGGGAATAGAGTTACTGCTACATGTTCAAAAAATTGTGGGTGGAGAATTCATGCATCATTTTACTCAGAGGATGGCAGCTTCCAAATAAAGACTTTTAACTCAAAACATACTTGCAGTTACAACAAGCTTAATAGTCAAGCATCAGCCAGTTATTTGGCAGCCAAATACATGGACACAATTAGGGATGAACCCACATGGAAACCATCTGCAATAAAGAAGGCAGTTTTAAGAGATTTGGATGTTAATGTTTCCAAATACAAGGTTTATAGGGCAAGAAAAAAGGCTAGATTACACATTGATGGTGACCATGGATTGCAATTCTCAAGGGCTAGAGATTACTGCCAGCTCATTCAGACCACCAATCCTGGTAGTATTGCAGTGACTACTGTTGATAGACCAACACTTGATGACCCTGCCAGATTTAAAGGGCTATTTATTTGCTTTAAAGCAATGAAGATAGGTTTCTTGGAAGGATGTAGGCCATTCATTGGATTGGATGGTTGCTTCTTGAAGGGTCCTTACAAAGGGCAATTGTTAAGTGCAATTAGCAAGGATGGAGACAATGGAATATTTCCTATAGCCATAGGTGTGGTTAGGTCTGAAACAAAACAATCATGGGAATGGTTTTTAAACCAACTAGAAAGTGTTTTGGGTCCTCTAAACAGATTTACATTTATGTCTGACAGACAAAAGGTAAAAATGTTTAAATAATTAATTTTATGTCATTTATTTTACATTTATGAAAATTTTATATTAATATTTTCTTTATTGTTGGTTAACAGGGTTTAGTTGAAATCTTTGAAGACAAGTTGACAGATTTTGTGTGAAGCATATGTATGAGAATTTTAAGAAGAAGTTTAAGGGTGCGAAGTTGAGGGATGAGATGTGGAATGCAGCACGTGCTTTGACTGAAGATACATTTAAGCATCGCATGCATCTCATAAGTTAGATTGATAAAGAAGCCCATGAATGGTTGTCAAAGGTGCCAGCTAGGTTATGGTCAAGGTCTAGATTTAATGATAATTCAAGATGTGATTTGCTTGTTAACAACCTTTGTGAGACTTGGAATGACAGCATTGGTGATGCTAGGGATAAGCCATTAATTACTATGTTGGAGTGGATTAGAGGGTACTTGATGTATCGGTTTCAATCAAAAAGGGAATGGATTCAAACCCAGAAGAGGTTGTTGTGCCTTACAATTGCTGACAAATTGACCAAGCTAATGGATGATTCAAGGCATTCCGCTATAAAGAAAGCATGTGATGATATATATGAAGTTTGCTATAAAGGTGTTAGTGATGCTGTTAATTTGGCAAACAGAACATGTAGTTGTAGGGAATGGGATGTTAGGGGTATACCATGTATGCATGCCATTGCATGTATAATTGACCAAAGGGGTAATCCTGAAGACTTTGTTGATAGTTGTTATCATAGGGAGACATACTTGAGGACATATACACCTGTTATTTTCCTTATGCCTCTTAGGCAAATGATACGTGAAGTTGCCACTGATCCTATACACCCACCAATAGTTAAGCCCTCATCTGGCAGACCTAAAAAGGCAAGAAAAAAGGCTGTTGGTGAAGTGAACAACAAAAGTGGTGCAGTTAGCAGAAAAAAGCAACTACTCAACTGCAGAAAGTGTGGGGCAAAAGGACATAATGTCAGAACTTGCAAAGCTACTGAAGTAACACCTCAAGTTGCCAAAAAAAGGTACACCAGGTAGACCTAGACTGCCAGTTACTTCTGGGCTACCTGGTGGACTGCCAGACACTAATGGACTTGCATCAATAATGGCAAGAGGTATTGCAACTGCAAGAAAAACTGTAAAAGGAAGAGGCATTAAAAGAGGAAGAGGGGCTGCAGGTGGTATGGGAGAGGTTGGCACTACAAGTGGAGGGACTGCAAGTGGTATGGGAAGAGGCATTGGAAGGGGAAGAGGGGCTGCAAATGGTATTGGAGAGGTTAGCACTACAAGTGGAGGGACTGCTAATGGTATGGGAGAGGTTGACACTGCAAGTGGAGGGACTACATGTGGTATGGGAAGAGGCATTAGAAGGGGAAGAGGGGCTACAAGAACAAATGCAAGGCAACTACAAGAGGTTATTATTTTAAACCATCATAATCAATTAATTTGAATGTTTACTGTCATATTACTATTTTTAATATTTTATCATTTTGTTTCATAGGTGATGACAATACACAATACAATCAAGATATGAGAATTTGTTGAATAATTTGTCTCAACCATCATCATCAATTGATTTCAATGTCTTGTGGAGTAGCCAAGCATCTTCATCATCTAAGTATGTGAGAGTTTTTTTAAAAAAAAATTCTAGAGCAATCAAGAACAGTTTATAAATGTCTTTGATGATTTTATTTTATTTTATTTTATTTTTTCACAGGCCCACTACAATTGACCTAGGAGTTTAAGGAAATTTGGTGGTTTTCTGCTTTTTGGAGTTCATGGTATAGCTTTTTGTAAGTTTTGGTGCACAGATATTGGTTTTCATCTTTTGGTATGTTGATGGTGCACAAGTATGGTTTAGATTTTTTTGGTTTGTTGGTGCACAGATATGGTTTACATTTTTTTGGCATGTTGGTAGTGCACAGATGTTTGGTTTTTTGAAATGTTGGTGCACATATGTTGTTTGGTTATTTAGAATGTTGGTGTACAGATTATGGTTTTGATTTTTGGGAATGTTAATGCAGAACTTAAGATTTTGTATGGTTATAGCTGATACTACTATAATTTATATGGTTATGGCTATGTTTTTTTGTATGTTGGCGGTGCATAGATTTTGTTTTTGTATGGTTATGGTTATGTATTTTGCTATGTTCTACACAGAATTTATTTTTGTATGTTTTTTGCTATGTTGGTGCAACTGGTATGTTGGTGCAGCAAAGATTACCCCAGATTATAATTTTTTTGTATTGTCATCACCTATTTTGCTATGTTGGTGCAACTGGAATGTTGGTGCAACACAGTATATTATATAATAATAATAATACATTAATTAATTATAAAGTCCATTACAATTATATTCTACTAAATAACCACACAATAACCATTACAATAGCACATGCTATAAATCCCAACATGAAAACAACCAAATTTGTGATTACATGATTCCCAATATTGCTTTGCACAGGTGGTGCACCCACAAAGTTCATTCTCCCATCAATAGGCAATGTTTCATCTTCCAAATGGTTCTCATAGCAATTTGGCCTCTCAAAGATGATATGGTTCTCATAGCCAGTTCCCTTTCCATATGGTTCCAGTTCTCAGGATCCACCCATCTATGGAACCCACAAGACATCATGGTATACCTTCCACATCCATAGAACCTCCGACCTAGATTATTTTGTGTAGTGGCTCTTCTCAAAGGAGATTTTACTCCACAATAGCAATACAATACATTACTTGATGGCTCCATATCAGTACTACAATACATATTGCAAGCACGTAAATAATTATAAAAAAAATTGCTATTAACTACTAAACACTACTATGCATCTAAAGGAAAAAAACTAACACAAAAAAAGTAATATATATGTATTATATATATATATATATATATATATATATATTCAAATCTAATATATATGTATTATAAATAAATTTAATTGCATAAGAAAACTCACCTTTGTCCAAAACCCCTTCCAGTTCATTGCAGAGAGATAATGAGTACATAATTTGGCAAAATGACATACAATGGGGTTATATAGGCCACAAGGCTATAACGGTCACAAAAAGGGCATTTTTGGCATTATAATACTTTGAACAGGCGTGTGGCATTACACACGCCCAGAAAGTTGATCTGGTGACTTCCAGGGAGGCATTTGCACACTTTGGTAGTTAAGGGGGGTATTTGCCAAAAATTGGATAGTTCAGGGGGTTTTTTGCACTTTTGCCTAGAAAATTATATATAAAGATAGGTGTGGTGGATACAAGAGAGACCTGGTGAGGAGGAGCCTGATGAACAGCAGTGCCACCTCTGACTTGCTTTCAAAGACCAACTACCTCAATCGCGACACACCACATGCTTGCAATGCTTGAAGCCCTGTTTGCTACGGCTCTTTTCGGATGTTTGAAAGCTATTGACGGCTTATGAGAGGGGATTAGAGGAATTGATTTTTAGGGTTGGTAATTGGTATCTCTGTCTAAGGGTGTGTAAATAGTGTATTGGTCTGTGCAGAGATGGAGGAGGCTTATTCGTATAAAGGTGGAGGTGTGGCTTTACATAGTTGCTAGGTGTTTTTTTTTTTCCCCCCAAATATGAATACAACCCTCCTTTAAATAGATTTACAAGAGAGAATAAATAACTATGGGATAAGATACAATATATCAATTATATATTAATAACTAATAACTTCATTTGAATTCAAAAAAAAAAAAATAAATAAAAAGGATATATCAGTTTTCTATTAATAAATAATAACTTTAATTGAATTAAAAAAAAATACGATATATCAGTTATCTATTAATAACTAATAACTTTAATTGAATTCAAAAAATAAAATAGATGTGATAGACAAGAAATAAGATTGTAGTTACTTTTCATATATTAAAATATTTATTTTACTTTTACTTTTTATTTTATGTATTATATATATATATATATATATATATGACTTACATTCTGGGTCGTGGCTTTAAGGACACGACCTTAATGGATCATATGAAACCTGGTCATCGCTTAAGGCCAAGACCTAATACTAAAAAAGTTATATACTTCTTTTATTTTATTATTATTTTAGTTATTTTTATTTCTTTTTTTAAAGTTATATATATATTTTTTTCACCTAAGGTTCTGACTTTATCCTGGACATAACGACAGGATTCATATTCTTAATTAGGGATTAAATTAGACCACTTTCAAAATTTTAATCAAACTTTAATGGGTTAGGAATGCAAAATTACTGTTTTGCCCCATCCTTGATCAAGTATTAGGAGTCGCATTGCGAACTTGACTCTAGGTGTACTGTAATGTTTTGAGTCCTTCCAGAACCATTGGTGACATCCATTTTATGATCTAGTGGTCTGATTTTCTAATTTTCCTGGCTTGGCGAAACTAGTTTTACCTAAATACCCCTTAAAATGGGTAGGGCCAAAATTGGGTGTCTACATTTAGTTCAACCTTGGGTGGTTTCTTCTTATTTTTGAGAACAGTGATAGCAGGAACATATAATGGTTCAAACCTAATCTTCAGTGGTTCAAAGATTGGAGTGGAATCGAGTAAAGCATTGACCTCACCAACATAACTGTCCACATCAAAATCATCACAAAAATGTGCTAGATACTATTGGAGTGGATCCTCGGGGTAGGAGTTCTCAAAGGTGTGGGCGGCTAATGACTCAATGAGATAAACTTCTTCAATGGAATCTGAGTCAGGGGGTTGTTTTATCAAATTAAACACATTGACTTCCAATTTCATGTTCCCAAAGGTTAAAGTCATATTACTATTTCGACAATCAATCACAGCATTAGCGGTAGCTAAGAATGGTCGACCTAAGATGATAGGAATTTGCGTACCTTGGGTTGGTTGGGTATCTAGAACAATAAAATCAACCGGGTAATAGAAATCTGCTATTTTCACTATCACATCTTCAATTATACCTCTTGGAATTTTGACAGAACGATCAGCTAATTGGATCCTAACATCAATTTTCTTTAAATTATTCAAGCCTAGTTCCAAATAAACTGAATATGGTAACAAATTCACACTAGCACCGAGATCCAACAAAGCATGGTCAATAAACATTTCACCAATCCTATAAATGACAGTTAGACTCTCCGGGTCTTTATGTTTAACCACGGCTTGATTTTGTAGGAAGGAAGAACAATTTTGGACTATGAAAGCTTCTTTTAGGATGTTGGTTTTCCTTTTGATTAAATCTTTGATGAATTTTGCATAAGAAGGAACCGTTTAATAGCAGTGAAAAATGGAATATTAATCTAAAAATTTTGAAAAATATATAAGATCTCACTGTATTGTGACTCCTTCTAATTGTTGACTAGTCGAGAAGGAAATGGTGTGGGGGGAACATAAGACTGAAGATAAATTGGATTAGATTGGGAACTGTGGTCCTTTTTGGTGTTGGGTGGGTCTGATGCACTAGACTTGGATGGTGCACTTGTAGCTTGGGTGGGTAGTTCAACTTGATTATTGACTTTCTTCTCTGACCGAAGGGTTATGATGGAGTTCACTTGATTATTTGATTGGTCAATGGGAGGAGAAGTTCTAATGTGATTCACTTCTTTGCCTCTTGGATTAATTTAAGGTTGGCTAGGCAAGGTACCCTTTTATCTTTCAGATAGTACAGAAGTAAGTTGAGTCAACTAACTTTAAATAGATTGCTAAAATTAGAGTTGACTCTGAGTTAAGAGATCAAAGTAACTCTCTAACTTTTGAATTCTTTGATCTGATTGCTTGTTAGATTGATCAAGATTAAGGGCAAACATTTTCAGAGTGTCCTCATAATTGGTAGCACGGTGGTACTATGAGACAGGAGCAACATAATTGTTCATTGGATTAATTGCAAGTTCTCTATTTTGATTGAACTGATTGTACCTAGGAAAATATCCTAGAGAGACAAGAGGACTTTGAGGTTATGTTGGCCTATCTAGATTACCTTGGAAACTGGGAAGACCACCTAAGTTTTGTGGAGGCAAATTTTGGCGCCACGAAAAATTCAGATGGTTTCTAGTATCGGGACGATATGTCTGACTAAAGGAATTAGCCGTCGGTTTCCTATAGGTATTATAGGCACAAACTTGTGCATCTGAAGGTTCAGATGTATAGTAGATTGGACAAGCCTCAGTGGGATGAGATGAACTTGAACAGACATTACATTTTATAGGTGCTGACATGAGAGCAAAGGCATCAAATTTTTTATTCAAATCTTTGACTCCTTCCGCTAGACTTTGCATCACTGATTTCAATTTAGGTTCGGGTTTGATCTCAAAAGGATTGGAAGTTCTTTTAGAGGGATCATTCCTAGAGAATTCGTCATCATAAGGGTTCCAAATCCAATTTTGGGCATTTTCAGCAAGTTCTTCTAAGAAAGCATAAGTTTCTTCGAGGTTTTGGGATTTGAACTTTCCTTAGTGCATTGACTCAATCATGGTTCGGTTAGTAAGAGAAAGCCCTTTATAGAAAGAATAAACTAATTGTGCTTTCTCAAAGCCATGGTGAGGGCATTTGAGAAGCAAATCATAAAAACGCTCCCAAGTTTGATGGAATTGTTCTTCATTTTTCCTTTTAAAAGTTGTAACGACCCAGTCATTTGCCTTCCTTTCCTTTTTTCTGAAATTTTACGAATGAATTTTTTTGGTTTAATTTTCTTTTCTGAGCTCTGTTTCGTGTCGCTTAGTGTCATCTCGAGTGCTCGGAATTGGTTCCTGAGACTCTTTTCCGTGGATTGACAATTTCCTTTGAGGACCGAGTCATTTTCACATTTTTCGTTTTTCGACACTATGCGCTATTTCATCCTTTTCCCTATTCTGTATTATCTCCGTTTGTTAGTTTTTGGCACAACCTCACTTCTCATGCTCGGAGTTGGTTTTTGACTTCACGTGCCTTCATCTTGAGTGGTTTTCTCGAAATACGTATCTTTACTTTTGCAAGAAAGTATTCTAGTTGCTACCGGTGCCCACAGGGGCATGAATGCACAATTCTCTAGAATCTTTTTCATTTCTTGGGGTATTTTTCATAAATATCTTTTGAAGATATTTTATTTCAGGGATTTTTAAGAAAATATTTTTGGAAGATATTTTTATTATGTACCATAAGTGCAGTTTTTACTTTTTGGAAGGGCCATTGTGCAATTAATGAAAGTTATTGCAAAATGTCTTGTTTTAAGCCTGGATCCTTGTATGGGATTCATTTTCACATTTCGTTGAGTTGTGTACTCTTGGAATTTCCTCCTTGTCGATGTTTTCCAGTTTTAGGGTTTCTGGCCCCCGCATGCGCCAAACTTGTTTTGGGCATAACTTTCTGCTCAGGACTCAGTTTTCAATGGCGTTTCTTCCGTTGTTCAAATTTTATTATTTTGAATCTTTTTTGTTCACAAAGTTTTGCCATTTGAGCGTGTCTGCTCAAATTTTACTTTTTCAGACCCGACGAGGCCCGTTCGGGGCACTTTTTGAGATTTCTATAAAAGGGGGGTGAGATATTTCATTTTTCATTTTCTCCCCTCTTCATGCACGACTTGGAGCTCCCATGGCAGCCCAAGGGGTGCTGCCATCTTCTCTCTCCTCTTTTAGTTCACTTTTCCTTAATGGAAAGTCTTCGGCCATAACGTTTGTTGTTCCCCTCGCCATGCTCTACCTTTCCCCCTTATTAGAATTTAGTTTTGACCATTTCTTGAATTTGGTTTTGAGGTCAAGTTATGATTTTGATCGGGCTTTCATGGGGGTTATGTTCACGACGTTATCCCCGACAAAACCAAGTAGTTTTGTCGGATTCGGAGCCGTTCCATTTTGATGGCATTTGAGATTTTCATCTCAAATTGAGGTAGGGGATGTTCTAGGTTTAAATTTTTGTTATATAGCATGCTTGTGATGGATATACTACTTGTTTGCATGATTAAATATAAAATCTAGAGATTTTATTATTTATTTTTCTTGTACGGGATCTAATTTTCCCGGTTGCTCATGACTTGGTTTAAACATGTACCATGATTTTATATTGCCCCGCGATATGCTTATTGTCGTGTATTAAAATTGGAACATTTGAATAAGTATTAAAGATTTTATTTAATATTTATCTTAGGTGAAAGATTAATTCACATGGCTTTAACTAGCTTGAAATCAATATGTGTTAGCATATTAAATTTGGCCTTAGCATGGTCTCCCACATAGTTGAATTTGAAAGTGATTAGAGGGGTTTTGAAAATTAGTAATTATTAATTAATTTGATTAATTAATTTGCCCCGAGTGCAGTATTCACTCTATTTAAATTCCAACTTGATATTCTTGACTTACACGCCATATAGCTTCACATATATTTGATTTAGAATATTCGGTTAGGTTTTCAAACCCTTCATTTAATTAAATTCCATGTTTAAGATTTAATCCTCATGGTGATATATAACTTGGAATTAAATTGTGGCAAACTAGAAAATTAAGTTTTGGTATGGTTGTTCACATGTATTAAATTGGGATTTATTGCATGAGAATTGCAACTTTTGTTTTATATTTAACTTTAGTGAAAGTTTAATTCGCATGGTCGTAAATTGAATGAAATAAATTTGTAATGTGATATTACATTAGTCCTTGGCATGTTTTCCAACATAGGTTAATTTGAGAGCATTTGGTTAAGTTTGAAAATCTAGAGATTTTAATTAAAATAATTAATGAAAATCTATTTTGTGGTCCCATTAGCTTAATTAAGGTTTTAACTTGATGTTTGTATTGGCCATGACTTGTTTACTAGTATATATTAATTTGGGACTATTTAAAGTTGTTTTAGAGCCTTGGGATTTAAATTAGCATGATTTAATTAAAGTTCTACCTTGTTGTTCTAACAACATAATTGAGTTTTAGAATGGATATAGGTGATGACCTTGTCATGCCCTTTAACATGTATTAAATTGAGGTTAATTGAAATTGAATCGAAAATCTAGAGAATTTAATTGTGTTTATCTATTTAAATTCTATCAATTTGCTCCATGATCTAGTTGTGTTTTAGAAGTGGTTTCTATATTCAAATCATGGACTTAGACTTGTTGTATATTCATTTGGTTATGTTTTGAACATTGGATAACATAGTTGCTATATTTGTATTCATGAGAATATGTTTTCCTTATTGAATATATTGTTGCCTTGTGTAATGATTTGCACACTTCATGTTTAACATCTTTAATACATAGCGTGTAACGAATCGCACACTAAAGATTCGACATTCATCATATCATATTAATTGTGGATTTAGAGCATGTATTGTATAGGTTTCCAAATTTGGTTGTGCTTAGTAGATAGTTGATTATCTTGCATATTCTTGTTGATATATACGATGTTGCACAACTTGTTGATTTTGGAAACTCGGGGATGTCGTTGTTTGACTATGGCGAGGACGTGGTTCTGGTACGAGGGATAGTCCCTCTATATATAGTCTAGTGCGCACATAGGGAGGTTACCCATGGGCTAGTAACCATAAAGTAACTCTGTTGTCGGTCTGATCCGGCGTGACATCCGAGTATCCACTTTGTTTGACTTCACATTTCATTTTCAAGTCGATAACTAGATGATGTTGTAACTCGTTGTTCCTTATTTGTCGTTCCATTTTAAGTTACATGATGTTAACTTTGCGAAATTGTGCTTTATGCATTGTATTGGAAGTTTCAATGTTGGTTAAATTGCATCGATATTGAAAATTGTGTTTTGACATTCTAACAAAGCTTAGGATTGATCATATTGATTCATTTATAACTTAGACGTTAGGTGGCATGACCCACTTCTGTTGTTTTCATGCTTTAGATTTCAAGCTGCTAGCTTTGAGAAATTGTATTTTGTTGCCTTGTATATTATGCTTTTAGGTGGTTAGATTGCATTGAAGTTGTAAATTGCGTTTTGATTGTTTAGCATGGCCTAGGATGATTCCTTAGACTTATTTAGAACATAGACGTTAGGTGACATGATCACTTTAGTTGTTTCTATATTCGAGATTGTAAGTTAATTCCTTTAAGAACCTATATCTTGTTGCTTTGTATAATGTGCTTCCATATTGTTTAAATGGTATAGATGATGTGATTTATGCTAGAAACACTCTAAGGTAGCTTAGGATGCTCCCTATGTCTCATTTCAATAGAGACGTTAGGTGGCATGAACCCCTTTAACATGTTTTACCTTAAGGTAATAAATTTGTAAAATGCTAGGTCGATGCATGCTCATCTCCTACGAGTAGCTTTATGTTACTCACTCATATGATACTGGGGCATATTTCAGGTACGAAGACTTGGTTCCTGATGCCTAGCATTCCTTGGATGTCGTGTAGCTTTCAAGTTTCCATTTCATGCAAATGTTAGCATGAAATGTCATTTTGTAGACTTATATGTCAAACTATGTATATTTGATTCCATGTATGTAATGTGTACTTAAGTACACTCCTTTCAATGTATTTGATATGTATGAGATGAGGCCGGAGGCCAATGACCATTATATTGTATTCTATGTACTTTTTAACTTCATGAAATATTATGAAAAACCTTGAAAAATCGCAAGTCATTGCTTCACCATGGTTGCATTGGGTGTGTGAATTCCGTTTTATTCTTTCATAGGGTCTTATAAATCATGTTTGAAGTGTGGCCAAGGGCCAAACGGTCATTTGATCCCGTTTTGTATTTTTGGATTCCGAGTTTTCATTACAAGTTCCATTTTTGCCTTTTTACCCATTGGGAGGTCGGATTTTGTATCGGTGGTATTTTTAAGTCGTGGACCATTGTAGCACGCCCAAATAGGTAAGTTACGTTTGCGTGCATGGTCGTTTCCGGGCAAAACCTTAACGTTTGTGTCTTGAGCCTCTTGTGAATTCATTTCGCATTATTTTTTCTGCATATTCTGATCTATGGGCATTATAGTCTTTTTACGGTGGTTTTATTTCCTTCTTTCAATATGGTTGAATAGGAAACATGATGTTAGGGGGGGTTTCTTTTCCGTGTTTTTCCAGAAAATGTCGTCTTGGCATCGGAAATCGCTTACGAAATTCAGCTTTCAGTTTTCAATTTAGCAGCTTTTTAGACCCTCTGGACCAGTTTTCTTGGGAGGACATTTTGGGCATTTCACAGTGAGTTTTTTTCGATTTTTCTCGCGTGTCATGTAGAAAACTCAATTTTGAGCGGGGTTTCTTCTTTGTGTTTTTGCAAAAATATTCATCTAGGCCTCCAAATTCAGCCTCTGTTCTGGATTTTTTTGAAAAAGAAACCCACACAGCAGCTTTATGGGCTACTGCCAGCCATGGTTCACTCAGCGCACGCGCGGCGTGCATGGGCGCGCACATGGGCGTGCGCATGGGGCTATCATGGCCCCTTGTTGGGCCGCCGCGACGTCAATTCTTCTTTTGGGCTTTTCTCCTTCGTTCGGACTCCGATTCAAGTGAATTTTTTTTTTAGCTTGACTAATTTTTGCTGTCGTTCCAACGGTGTGCTCGGTTGCACCCGGTTCTTCCTAGATAATTAGCAGTTTACCCTTTTAACCTTAAGTGCTCGTATTTCTTCGTCATGCCGTTTCTCCTTCGTCCGGACTCCGAATCATGCGATTCTTGAGTCCATCTTGATTAGTTTTTCGTTGTCCT